TTTCCACTTAAACCTGTATACGTTTTGGGAATGAGCCTGCTGTTTCGGCGTGATTGCCAGTGGAACCATCTATTTAACCGATTTAGTCCTCGCTGCAGTGGAGCCGGGATCGTATGACATAAAGGATCAGTGACCATGATACCACGGCGTTCGACGCCAGGATGTGACAGAAAAGTGACAAGACGTGCCTCGTGTATGTCTTGCTCAGTTGTGTGTGTTTTGAAATGGATTTCGTCATATTTGATGAGCTTTAGTGTCCAAGTGCCTGTGCTTTGTCGGTGCAGTGAGGTCAACACATTCGTTTGAGTTGCCGGATTGTTTGTTGTTTAACGCTGCACTCAGCAATGTTCCTGCTATATGGCGGCGGTCTGTAAATAGTCAAGTCTGGAACAGACAATCAAGCCTTCAACAGCATCCGCATCGATCTACGCAATTAGGATGCCATGACATGTGTCAACCAAGCCAGCGAGCCTGACCACCCGATCCCGGCTTTTTAGGACAAGCATGGGTTGCTGAAGACCAATTCAAACCCGGATCTTCACGGGTTGTGAGCATTGGAAGGGTGTAGTGTTTTCTGATCCCCTTCAGCCAAATCTTAACGCTGCTGGTGGACAAAAGAGGGCGACGAACATCGATCACCAAACTTTTGTAAAAAACATGGCAAGAATGAAGAACTTGAAACACTTTTTATAAAGTTCTATTAAACCGTTATTAACGATTATTTGACGATAAAATTACCAAAGTTACCCATACGGTTTTACAATTTTGGCTTTTTTAAAGAGTAAATTATTCCTTTATCTTCTTTTCATGAAATCAATGGGGGCTATGACAAAGGACGCCAAAATATTCAATATCATATATTTCCTCTATTAGATGTCATGCTGTCTATATATTCCGCGCGAGCAATTGACCCAGCGTCTATTAAAGACCAGAGTATATTGAGACCAGAAAGCGAATAGAGGAGAGGAAATTCTGTATCTATCTATTTGTCTGTCATAAGAAAGTAAGATTCTTTATGGATAACAACGTCTTTGTTATATATGATGCGACGTTTCGGTATAGATTCTTATATCATTGTCAAGCAAGAGTGAATGTTGTTTTACGTGTCAGTAGTGAGATTATAGCACACAGTAATAGTTTACAGAATCCAGTGAATGACATTGTGAGCATCGATAGGATACGACGACGTGTGTGAATCAAGTCAGCGAGCCTGACCACCCGATCCCGTTAGTCGAATCTTACGACAAGCATGGCTTGTTGAAGACCAACTCTGATCTGGATATCTTCCCGGGTAGTCGCATTTGAAACCTCTAACTACACGTTCAGTTCTAAAATAAATTCTGCGCCGTTGAATCCTATTTCTGCACAGAAAATGAAACCAGAAGGCATCGAAGGTAACACCGAGTATCGAATATCTGAAGAAATATGTTTCGCTGGACGTAAAGGGCAATGTTGTGATAAAAATTGAATTAAAAATGACATCCTTCGTGGAAATCATCACCAGATCCGATGACATTATTCAGTTGAAAGAGGATATGGTACCGATATAGAACATTATGTGTTAAAGACAGAAATGAGTGCACTTGGTTGAACAACTGTTGTCAGCACTAATTTTCATTGATTTATTCGGAAATTTATACTCCCGTAGATCGATGCCTCAAATGCCTATTACGTTTCTCTGGTGCTAACGTTTATATAACTCTATATCGCCCAATGCCAGCAACTGTAGCACCATTGCTGTGTATCCCTGTCGGACATATGGCAAGACCGTCAAAATCTAGCCAGCTAAGCTTTGTCCATGAGAACTGCCGACCTTCGCAGTTCATGTCCGTGAGAACTGTCGATGGATTGTTATTCGTTCATCTGCCTTTAAAAGCACCCAGGACGGGCAAACAGGGCATAGCAGACAGACGCCCAGATGAGCGCGGACGGGGACTTGAAGGGACGAACTGACTGGTCAATTCTGCTATCTTCTGCCCAAGTGTCAGCATCACATCGCCGCCTTCCCCTGGTAGCCTCTGCCGAACTGGGCAAACTTTTGTCTCAAGAGCTAACAAGAAGAATTCACATCTTGAAACAAAGTCAACATATTGCTGGAGGCCATTACATCATGATATTTAGATGGAGGATAATGATAAGAAACAATCTGAGCTAAAATGTTTGTCATTCGCCCCATAGATTTCGATGTCAACCTGCAGCCAAAAGTTGATAGTTATTGAAACAAAGATACCTCTTCTTGGTAGTCACAGCATTGTAACATGAAGATAACACAAAGAACGATACATGATTCTCTTGAATACGAATTATCCCCGCTTCTGTATTCGTAAAATGTCATTTAACTTACTTAAATGTCATTACATTTTCATTTCGTGTATTACGTTAGAGCGTATGGCATAGAACGATGCAAAAATTGCCCCCAGATGGTAATCGTGTTCATGTCTCAAATTGCATACTTGGGTGATTGTGATAAATGCTTTCAATTACATGTAAATCATGTAGTGATGTATTTAACAGGGCCGTTAATGGATGCCAAAACCGTGAATCAGAGAAGATGCAGCAAAATATAGACTTCATTATTTCCTGGCTTGGAGTGATTTTAGGATCGGCGATTTATTTGGACAGCAGCGGCAGCTGCATGTACAGGCATACATGATAATCAATAAATCCGAAATGGAAAGGCCTATTATAAAAAAATTATATTGATTTGTTGAATCCGGGAAAGCTCATTAAGTCAGGCAATTTCAGGTGCACCATCCAGCGTCGTCTGAATTTGATAAATAGACATATCAAAATACATATTGCAATACGTTCATTGAAACACATCTGATTTAGTTCTTAATTTGACAAAAAGACATGTCAAATACAAATTTCCATGTTTTCCTTGACACATGTTTGATTCACTTCCTAATTTGACAAATATGCACGTCAAACTAAATATTTCAGTTCGTGTATTAAAATATTTCTGATTTAGGTCTTGGTTTGAGTGATATACATGTCAAAATATATATTTCAATATGTTCAGTGAAACATTGATTTTTGGAATGTGTTTTGTGCAAGGAACTTTTATGGTTGAAAACTTTGAAAGTGTCTTGCTTGTATTTGCCACTGATTTAATCAGCATAGTTGAAAGATACAACAAACTAATTCAAGCCTATGTAAAATGTCTGCATGAATGATGAAGTCTGATGAACAAGCGAACAAATTTGCGTTTCTACAGAAATAAATATGGTGATATTTTTACCCCACATAACAAATTGATTGAAATAACGTTCTTTAGCATCGGGCTAACAATATATTCGTCATGCACTCATGGGTAATACAAGATCAATAGAACTGTGTTTTTCTTAAATTGATTCCTAGTCTAGACGATTGATGATTCATGACAATATTTACATTAGACCAATACATGCTGGCGTATACCAATGCATATTTAAACGCATTGGCCGCGTGTGTTTGCACATAATCCACTCTCGATATCAAATAAAGATATATCGAAATAACACTCCCTATCATCTTCGTTTAGTTTCTCTATCTTGATATACATGGGTTTATCTAGGATTTGCTTAAGCTTCAGAAATCAGTTTTCATGCGAAGAAATCCTTTCGAATGATATCAGCCTGCCACTGTAATTGCATAATTTAGTTACAACCGTCTGTGCTGTTGTAAAATAGCCCAACGTTGTCAATGCATAGGGGTTTTATATCCGTCCAAGTGAAAGTATTTTGATATCATTACAGGACCTTGGAGCAGCCTCTTCAGGGACGATATTGGTGGAACACACAACGAACCAGCTACTTCCATAAAGTGGATCGGCTTGCGCAGCACATATATCCAGTGTGTGTTATTAATTCTCGGGCTGCTAAAATAGACAACATCTGATAGTTCAACCGACACCCCGGCAACTTTGCGGTTGTAAATCAATTTGGAATCGTTTTTCTTGATGAGGTAAATGTTCCCGCTTATATTTCATGGATGCATTGTCAAATGGATGGACAATAGTGTACAGTTTTACGGTTTCCACAACATCATATCGACGTACAAGTAATTAGTGACCACGGTAATACAAACCAAGTGCTCAGTTACCATGGAAACAGACAACGAGTGATATAGTAAGGAATCAACTTTATTATATGCGTATAAAGTCAAGTATATACTTTGCAGGCGATTTCTTCAACCTTGGTTGTTACCGGGAATATTAAATTTGCAAATCAGTGTGAAGTAATCTCAACTTTGTCAAACCTGTGATTAGCCGGGGCAACACTAGTTGACCAAAGCAGTGGGGGACCTATGCATAGTTACATATTCCCACACATATTTCACTTTAGAGCATTTCACCCTTGTCTTGTAAACACATGGGGCAGTCACTGATGTTCTCACATTAACCCTTGGGTTTAATTAATATTCCCAAAAGACACGGCAAACTGTTCAACGTGCCATCATATATTATGGAGATTTCAAATTAGAGACGACAGGACCCTAATGGTTTGATCAAGAAATGAACATTCTCTGTTGTTTACTACGTTAGACGTCACCTGTTAAGACAGTGCACATATATCAAGCCCTATCTCGACTGCAAGAAGATGGCCTTTGGCGGGATAATGTCTTCAAGCTAGGCTCGTATCCCCAGAGTCATCTTAGCCACTGCGCTGACATAGGAGACGAATTCGCTGTATTGACCTTCAGACAACCTGCTTACAATATTCCGTGCTTACAGCCCTGTAAAAATCACTTTATTATATTGCCAGAGTACATTACCAGGACCTTGGGTCATATTGAAAAATCCTAATTTTCAATTGTTGCTTAGATTGTACTCGACAGTTTGTTTGCCTACATGATTAAACAACAAAGTTAATTCTTTTCGTCGATCTAGTGCGTGCATCAAGTTACAGACTCTGGATCCCAAATTCTTAGCTGCTCTGCAGGCTGTTTACATAAGTTGTATAACTTAATGGATCATAACGACACGAACCTTCGCCAGATCTGACAAATCAAACAGAACCATGTCTCTTGGAGCTATCCTTGAATACCATGGGGATGCAAACTTCACCCAAGAATTCCAGTTCCCTTTGTATGGCAACAACGGAACGGACCATCTCGTAGAGATAGCACATGCTATCAGTTTATATCTCATCCCAACAATCTGCTTCCTTGGAATCGTCGGCAACGTGTGTTCCTTCTTCGTCTTCACGTTATCAACGTTTCGGTTCCTTCCCTGTTCACTCTACCTTGCTGCTCTCGCTGTCTCAGATACGGGATTCCTGGCAGCTCTGTTCATGGCCTGGCTTACAAGTGTCATGCCTTGGGTTGCCATGGCACCCGGTCTCTGTCTCACAATGGTGTACATAACGTATGTGTGCAGTTTCTTGTCCGCCTGGTATGTCGTGCTCATGATGGTGGAGCGGTTCGTCGTCGTCTGTCATCCCCTGAAAGCTCCGCGATATGTTACAAAGAAGAGGTCTAGGATGGCCGTAGGGCTTGTCACAGCCTTTGCTCTGATTCTGTACCTGCACAGCTTCCTTTCCACGTACGTCAATGTAACAGTGTATGGACCGTCCTGCTCGGCGAGAGAACAGTATATGAAATTCAACGCTATATTTACCTACATAGACTCGCTAGTAACATTTGTGGTGCCTTTCACAGCAATAGTTGTCCTTAACATTAGGATCATCCTAACAGTACGGAACTTCCGTCTTAAACACCATCCATTACACATGTACTGCATGCATCAGTCAGAGCCAGGGGTTCTGACACAGGCTCAGGTACGGTCAACGAAGATGCTTGTGCTCGTGTCCAGTATTTTCGTCGTCCTCTATCTTCCCAGCCACGCCATCAGGATGTACCTGCTGGTTAGAGTGTTGGTCAGGAATGACCACTGGATGTATGACCACACGACCGTCCTCGCGCAGCAGATCTGCCAGTTTCCGTACTTCATCAACTTCGCCGTTGACTTCCTTGTCTATAGTATCACAAGTAAGAACTTCAGGAAGAATGGTGTCAAACTCTTCAGAAGGATGTGTGATGATGACTGAACACCATGTCAACATTGGACGACTCTGAGAAACGAGTGGATGAGTCTACTGTATTTCCTGTGTCTAACAAAGGACGACTGAGTTGTCAACAATCTGTGGACACGGAATAAGATTCTACTAATCAACCATTCCTAATGTTACTAACTTTTCCGTAGGATATGCAGCGATGACTCAATATCGCCGACAGGCGTTGACTCTTCACGATGTGCGGTATGTGAAACGACTTGATTTCCTGTTTCCAACTCTGGATGGAATATAAACTTTTATCTGTCAAAAGTAATTGTAGAACGCATTGTCAAGGGAGAAAAGAAAGGAAAAAGCAACGATTCGAGGAGTGATTTACTTGCAGTTTGTACATATGGACATATCAAGAACATAAATTCGATATGTTAAGAAGTTAGTTTATGAACGATATCAAACTTATGTGACTATCTCTTCAACAATTGTGTTCATCAGTTGATGATGGCACAGTCACAGAGTTGTTGATCTTCTGTCCGGATAGATAGGAAAACTGAAACAGTTACAAAGTTGCTCATCTTCTGATAATACAGGAACACTGACTCAGTTGCAGAGTTGTTGATCTTCTGATAATACAGGAAGATAGAAACAGTTGCAGTCTAGTTGATCTTCTGTCCATACAGGCAAACTGAAACAGTTGCAGAGTTGTTGATCTTCTGATAATACAGGAAGATAGAAACAATTGCCGAGCTGTTGATTTTCTGTCGTCAAATTGTTGATTTTCTGTCGTCAAGTTGTTGAGATGTAAATACTGAACTTGGACACTGGTGCAATCTGTTCGCACGAGTGTAAATCAACGAGTGTCTGTCTGAGATCTGAAACCATGTTTGAATATATACAAAGTCTGTTTCTCAAATTCATGTAGTGAGAATATACAAACTGCGCCAAATGTGGAAACAGATTGTTACAATGATATATATTGGTATACTCGTTATCCGTCATGACATTGTCTTTGTTTCAACCGAAGAAGCATGGCTGGTCTGTGCACTGAAAATTGTATTTTCCAAAGACGGGTAATTTTAAAGTCAAATACAATAGTCTTACGTTAGATTACAAAAAGTGTGCATTCTAATGCAGAATAATTTACTATTGAGGAATGGCGGAATTCATTCATAAAATTATAGGTATTGTGATGTATTAAACAAGCGACCGTCACATGGATGAAAACAGTTTTTTTTTCAAAAGTAAAAATAATTGTTGGTTAATGGTTCAATTCGCTCGTTGCCATTTACCTATTTTCACTATTGTGGCATTCCATATTGATGATACCGTGCAATGCTTCGTGGTCACATGAGGCGATTACAATATAGTGACAAGATAGTTTCAATCTGTGATTGGAGGCGATGGGTCGACTTCAAGTATGTGTTACCATTCCTGATACACGATTGTTGAGTGGTGCCACGGACACATAATATCATCAGGCATACTTGGTATTGATATTCAGACAGGCTTAAAGGCAGATGTAATTTTTCTTAAGCCTTTAGTATTTGTTCACTGTGCCATCTAATGTGCTGTAGGTTCTTAAAGAACGATAAAGCAGTGTTGTATTTTCGTGGCTCGTATGGTGCTCTGGTGTATGTTTTATAGAACCTCAGTTTCTGAAAGATGTCTTACGATTTTATATCTGCGCGGTGATATCCGAGATACAATACAATCAAGTTGCTGAGACAAAATGGATGACTAAATTGGATAGATTGGTAAGAAGCTGTCAATATACGGTGTGCATTTTATCCTGACTATGTGTCACCACTTCCTTAGAGTGTGCCATCATTTCACGATTGTGTGTGATTGTTTGTCATCATTCTCCAATAGCGTGTGGTCGTATCCCGATTGTGCTTCATCATTTCCTGATTATCTGTGTATCGTCATCCCGATTGTGCTTCATCATTTCCTGATTACCTGTGTATCGTCATTCCGATTGTGCTTCATCATTTCCTGATTATCTGTGTATCGTCATCCCGATTGTGCTTCATCATTTTCTGATTATCTGTGTATCGTCATCCCGATTGTGCTTCATCATTTCCTGATTATCTGTGTATCGTCATCCCGATTGTGCTTCATCATTTCCTGATTATCTGTGTATCGTCATCCCGATTGTGCTTCATCATTTCCTGATTATCTGTGCATCGTCATCCCGATTGTGCTTCATCATTTCCTGATTATCTGTGTATCGTCATCCCGATTGTGCTTCATCATTTCCTGATTATCTGTGTATCGTCATCCGATTGTGCTTCATCATTTCCTGATTATCTGTGTATCGTCATCCCGATTGTGCTTCATCATTTCCTGATTATCTGTGTATCGTCATCCCGATTGTGCTTCATCATTTCCTGATTATCTGTGTATCGTCATCCCGATTGTGCTTCATCATTTCCTGATTACCTGCGTCGCATTATCCCCGATTACGTGTCACAATTCCTTTATTGCGTGTCATCATTCCCCAAGGGCGTTGGGGTAGCCTAGTTGCTGGAATAGTGCGTGAACCGCTGTGAAACCATACTCACTCACTCGTCATTCCCCAATCATTTTATTTGAGTATGCTTTCAATCACCAAACCTGACTCTTTACGACCTCCGCGTCGTTTGAATATTGCTTTCACCCGTTTACGGTATGTTACAAAGCGAAACTTCACATAAAACGAAAATTAGATACTTTCTAAGTGGTGCTGATGAAATCGGATTTACACTAACACACTTGTATCGACTTACATGCACGTGTAAGTATATGTGATTGGTTGTAATAGCCCAGCTTTGCCTGTTGTGGCGCAGCCCGCATTTTGACATGGATGCTGATACCGTGGGCATTGAGATATGAGAACAATTTTCTGTCCCCAAACTCTAAGCACTGAAACATAATTCCAAAGTGACACTGTGGGCGCGACTTAATTACCTTAGTATTCAATAAATCCAGACAGCACCGTAAGAACCCAAGGCTAATCATCTAAAAACATCTGTCAACAAGTTAGTGTATAAAAGGTTACACATCTTAAGGTTTTAAGATAGTTCTAAACTTAAATATAAATAAATGTTAATCCCTCAAATGACCGGTCAAAACAACCTACCCTTATTGTTTCAGTTTGCCTGTACTAACCGTATATCACGTAGATAGGTCCTCATTTCGACGGGTCCGGAACAAGCGTCTCATCACCTTCCAAGGAACATATATGGTCCCATGGAAGGCTATATATGTTCGTCATTGTTGTATATAATGTATATATTTGTCAGTCATGAGTGTGTGTGTGTGTGTTTCTTCCTGTCTGTGTGCGTGTGCGTGTGTCTGATGTTCATGTAAATAAATCTCTGTATATCTGTATGCCAGTCGTCTCTTGTTCTACCTTGCTAAGCACCCCCTTTAGTCAGAACATGCTTCTCCACTAATGGACAGTAAAGACTCCTTCTGAGCAATACAACTCGTTTGCCTTGAATTAAAGATGCTTCACAAAATATCAGTTGTAAATTACCTCTGCCAATATATCCAGCATAGTTTAAGTAATGGAATAGAAGTATACATGCGACATATTGCCATTTATATCGTAATGTTTATGATGACTGTTTGATTAATTGTTTGTACTAATACACATACTATTATTGATGTTAGTGTTTATTGTGGACTTTGTATCAGCTTGTTGATTGTTATGTGAATAAAGTTATAATTTCATTCAACTCTTTGATGTTGATTCTCTCTCGGAATATTTCAATCACAGATAATAGGTAGGGAAAGACAATTGTCATGCCACTGCACATCGTAGATACCCAACATAATACCCAACCGAGGTACAATGAAATGTTATTAACCACACGATTCACTTGGGCGACTCACGCGATATTTATATTCATTCCCAAATTTGCTCTGTTTGAGTGAGTGAATGAGTATAGTTTTACGCCACTTTTAGCAATATTCCAACAATATCAATGCGGGGGACACCAGAAATGGGCTTCACACATTGTACTCATGTGGGGAATCGAACCGGGTCTTTGGCTTGACAAGCGAACGCTTTAACCACTAGGCTACCTCACCGCCCGTTAAGGATGAACGGAATATTGAATTAGATGGGGTTGTTCGGTTTAAGAGGACGACGGAGAAATTGGTAATGATGGGGTTATTCAGAATGAGAGGTTGAAGGGGACATTGGGTTTATTCAGGATGAGAGGTTTAAGGGTGAGTGTTAGTGTGTTTAGTTTTTCGCCGCTTTTAGCAACATTCAAGCACTATTACGGTGGGTTGCACCAGCATTTGTACACATTGTACTGATGTGGGGAATCAAACTCGGGTCTTCGGCGTGACGAGCGAACACTTTAACCACTAGTCTACACAACTGATTTATTAGCAATGTGGGGTTAAGGGGGATATTGTTGTTATTCGGGGTGCGAGGTTGAAGGGAAATATTGGGGTTATTGAGGATGAGAGGTTTAAGAGAAATAATTGGGTTATTCAAGATGAGCGGTTGAAGAGAATATTGGGGTATTTCAAGATGAGATCCTGAAGGGGATACTAGGTTCTTTCGGGATGAGATGTTACATGGGGTATCTGGGTTATTGAGGAGTGTCAGTGAGTGAGTGTGAAATTAATCTGTCAACTGACAAACATGCTATAAATTCTTGAACAGTACATCAACCCCCATCAAGGGTATAGACACAAACAATCTAAGTTAAAATATACTGTCAAGCAATACATGCTTGATCGTGATTATTTCATCACAAAGATACAAAACGGAGGATCCTCGCCTGTCAATAAATATCCAGTTTGTATCACGTGTGGCCAATATGACATCGCCGCATAATGTCCTCCTCAAGTCTGGATTGACAAACCCAAGCAGGTGTACAGTTAACCAATAGTTGGTATAATTTATTGATATGGGTGTCCCACTTCTTTAGCATTAGTTAACATCTGATTACAGGCTCACTGTAAGGATTAGCGGTTGAAGGGGATATTTGGGGTATTGAGGATGGGAGTTTGAAGGGGATATTGGGGATGAAGAAGAAGGGGCTCTTGGATTGTATAAGAGGATAAAGGGGATATTATTTCTGAGACTGCTTCTTGGGGCATTTACTTGTCGTTCTATTTCATATTATATAATACTGGTGGTCCTATCACAAAAGAGGTACCACCCGTGACGATCATGGTTAGAATTGGTCTTCACCAACTCATGTTTGTCGTAAAAG